TAAAATGGGGTTGTATTTGGCCTCCATAGCTTTGCGGAAAGATTCCACTTTGCTCAGGACGTGAGTCAATGACGCCCTTTTCTTTTCGATACGAATGCGATCGTACCATACCACTCGCTGCATTTCGGTGCATTCAAAGTGTATGCGTGACATGGTCATGTCTGTCCACTTGTCCTTGGCCTCCTGAGGTCTCGCAACGAGGAGATCTGCATCATTGATGTTGAGTGGAAACTTCGTATCATAGTCTTCTCGCTTAATGCCCGGTCGCGGCCCTTGAGACTCGCATGTGCGGAAATCCAGGAAGCAAAGTTGAAACCATATGATGCGTCGGACATGACACTCGACTGGCGACAGGCCATAAATTGCCTCCGGATCGCGATGCAGACCCATACATTCCGCGAGACGAACAGCCATACCGACAATCACCGAGTGAGCACGGGAGAGCTGGTCTCGACACATGGGAATAAGGTAGACCACGAGCGCCTGCAAGGTTTCTATTTTAGTCGCTCTTAGAACCTGTGCTTTGCTCAGGGCCACCTCAGTGCCGGTCTGGAAATTACCGAGTATCGTGCTCTTGGGGCGGGCAAAAATAGCTGTGACCTCTGACTCAGGCATGCTCGCCACAGCCGAGAAGAGGACCGAGAGGACGATAGACTGTTGCCACGCAGGGGGTTCGAGACCGGCGAGTACCGCCGTCCAGAAGTTGTCGTAGTGCAGCTGGAAGCTTGGCCAATGAACGACACGAGCAATAAAGTGCACGTTGTCAAAATAGTTGCGCACCAGAATGTCGGCCGCAGCTTTTGCCGGTAAGAAGTTGATCAAGGACCTCTTGCTGCCAACATCCCCAAACAGGAACCCAGAGCCTGGGGCAATGTACGAAGGCCCGGGAGCCAGGAAGTCACTGTCGTGGTCCGGGAGTTGAGGCATGGCAGAGAGCTTCTCGTTGGGTGTGCGACGATCACTGGTAGGTTCTGAGAGGGTGATGTCCATCTGAAGGCTATGTCAATCGCAGAGACTTGTACGCGCGCCATTGTTGCACCTACCTCTTCATGTAGTCTGGGTCGGAAAAAGCCACCCAATCTCTCCGTTAGCCTTGATGTTGGTCAGCCCGTCTAATCCCTCAACGATCATGCTGCAGATGAGAATTTACCGCATTTTTCCAATTCGGATCCCCAGATCCAGGACATCATCATTAGCATCGTCCTCGTAAGCAGCATCAATGACTGCTAGCGGGGTTGGCTCAAGGCCTTTTTCGTCGTCCGGGACGGCAGCTTCATTGTCAGAGCTGCTGTCCTCGCCTCCAGGAAGGTCGGCTGAGGTTCTCCGTTCTGAACTTTGAGACGAGCTCGTGGCGACCCTCCCTTCCTTGCGCGCGACGTCCTGCTCAAGCACTCGTTCCAGAGATCCCATCTTCTCCTTGATCTCGTTGAGACGTTGCTGCGAGACCGAATCAAGAGCCGGCGCTAGAAAGAGACAGTCGCGCGAGAACTTGCTGCAATTAGTACAAGGATGCAGCTTGTCACACTTTAGCTTTCTCCGGCGACATTCAAGGCACGACGTGATCATTCGGTTTCGTCGGCGCACCCTATTTTGACCGGCAGGCTTTTGCTTCTCGTCGGCTGCACCGCGACCGTCGGACGGAGGTGAGGTATCCATATCGCTCAGGGTGAGAAATGCAGCAGGATCGAAAATGGCACGTTATATTGCGAAGCACCGCGAGATCTGCCAAGGGGATCCGCGGGGTAAGATGGAGAATAACTCAAGGCAGGCCGAGATCGACGTTGCGCTCGTTGTCCAGAGGACTGGGACTCGATCAACCCTCGCCGTCGGCGGGAGAAAGCACTTGAGGAGAGCCAGGTGTTAGAAAAGGATATTGAGGCGAGTTTCACGGGCAGAGGTAAGATATCGGGAAAGGGTTGATGAGTTCGACGCGATGGCTTGATGTCGTTGGGCGGCGCAAAGGATTGGCTGACTGGAAGTGGAGGCACGTGCGACTTTGTCTTTGCTCAGCAGACTTGGTCGTTTTGGTGTCGGGCTCTATTGGCTCCATTGCCTCTATCGGCACCACCATTGGCCCTTATTAGCATCATGATTCAAAGGCAAACAGGCCACCCGGACGGAATCCATCTCTTGGGCTTTCTGTCACATTATCCTAGAGGTGTCGCTCTCCTGTCCTCCTATCACCCGTCATACTAGTCCCCGCTTCCCCCCGACATCAAGCGTCGTATAGGCGGCAATGCTGACTCGCCACTACTAGCTGGTTGCTAGCTCTTCGACGGTCATGCTGTGGGTAGAGCGAGAGCTGACTCAGCCGCTGCGAAAAGAGCCGGAAACGAAAATGCTGGCTAAAGCTTTGCCGAGAAACAACAAGCCTCAGCAGGATTGAAAGATGCATGGATGACCACATTTGGGCTTGAGCTGATTGCAGAAGCGTGCAACACTGATAAATGATGGAGGATTAGGCCGATGGGTTGGAAGACTGCACACGTTGGAGCCAACGGTGCTGGGTTGACGTCCTCAAATGTTCAATGTCCCCAAAGTCCTCTAACAAGTACGAGTACGCATTCAATCACTTGGCCCCAAGGATTTGTCAAAAGGTAAGCAAGGCCAGCGGAGAGCGGTCCGCTACAGCCTTGGTGCCACACATATATTCGACACAATGGACTGCTTTGATCAGCTTCAACATATTGCAGGAAAACGGAAAAGACAAAGCTGGTTATCGAGTCTGCATCGACACAGTCTTTGGCCAAATAACACCACCATGCCGATTGCAACGGAAATTGCGCAGTTCTCTCTGATCGCTGGACAAGACCCCAGGAAGGCTGGCTCCTCGGCTGCCCAATTCCTCCAGAAGACTTTGGACATAGTGAAGCAACAGCCGGGATTTCTTCGTGGTTTTTGGGTAAGAATGGCACTTGGAGCATGACCAACGTCCTAATTTTATGTCAAGGGTATTCAAGACGAAGATCCAAGTGCCCTCGTCGTTGTGGTTGGTAAGCTGTGGTGAAAATCAACTTTCCATTCACCCCTTGTCCAGCTGCTCCGCAGTCTAGATGGAGCCGCTAATCCTGTGAAAGACTGGGAGGACATCAAACACCACCAAGACCTGGTCAACAGCCAAAACTTTGCGGCTATGCAAGAAAACCTGGTCAATGTGATCACCTTCGACAATGGACCTCCAGTTGTCAGTGAGTTCGTCCAAGATGCTACTTTATTCTTGCCGGGAAGAGGGCTGAAAGTGGCCAGCGCACGTAAACTTCACCTCTGATGCTACGAGTGTCTATCAAGCGTCTGTCACTGCGGTAGAATCCTTCAGGGTGCCAGAGGATGCAAGTCAAGAGCAGAAATCGGCATTGGAGGACTCGTTCCTCCACCTTGCAAAATTCTACACAACCAAAACTGCCTGCAGTGGATACGCAAGCGGTTGGGGTGAGTATTATTGTCAAGAGTGGAACGGACTCCCCTGGTCGACTAACTTGGACATCAGTTGTCGAAACGCTTCCAGATGATAACGCCCCTGGAGCCAAGGTGCTTAGCTTCACTGGCATCTTTGGCTGGCCGGTAAACGAAGAAGTTAAGAGTGTGAGGAATAATCCTGGTGACCCTGCAGTTGTCGACGCGATGGACCCGATTACAAGAGTTGCTCTCCCCAGAAAGAAGGGAGACGCCTTCCACGTCAGCTTGCGCAGTTTTGGATAGACAATAATGGATATATACTCCGTACCTACTTTTGGGTCCATGCCATCCCCACCTTGACGTCTTCACTACATTCTCGATCTTCTGCTTGTTCACTAGCGAGAGGGGACGTGATAGCCGAAGAGATTGGACCCTCCGCTTCCCACAAGGCGATCGCAATTGCGACAGTTCGCCAAATTCGCGCGTTGATTTGAGACGACAAGACGATTCTCCTGCTCGCCCAATTAGCCGAGATCTGGGGAAATTGGTTGAGTTGATCGGAGCCAATCATGAAGCGAATCTTGTACCAAGGTTTGGGTTCACGAATGGTTCATCGGACTCCCTCCGACTTTAGTTCAACGCCACTTCAAGTCTTTTCTTCAGCTGCCGCCAGGTTGTCAACAAACACTTGCTCCTCTCTAGAGGCGACGACTCTCCTCGATTGTCGCCCCAGCGACCAAGCAATCTGAAGGTCTTTCTTCCCATCGAGGTAACCCAGTGTCGACACCCATACTCCACATCGCAAGCTCCACGCGAGCACGAGGTGAAGGGGTCCAAATCCACCAGCAGCGCTAGTTGCTCCTCCTTGATTTCTTGCTTCGTTCAACCAAGATTCCGTGTCCACGTACGCCTCCAGTCTTTTGTCAAGGACTTACCTCAGTTGCAGCTCCAACCCGGGGTGTCTCGTGCGCTCATAAAGGCCGGATCGAGGTCTGTCAATCTTGCGACATAAATACCTGTTAGATATGGGCATGAACAAGCCAACCTGGCACGTCGATCCCCTGCGTTTGGCATGTTCATCATATCTTCTTTGCTTCTATTGCTGTCAACGTCATTACGAGTCCTGAACTCTGACTCTGAAGATGCCGGGGATTATAACTGCTTACTGCTCAACTCTGCCACCGACTAGGAAGCCAGTCCTCGGCAGCAACGGGGAATCCAGGCTCTACTCACGTACAACTGCTGCCACATTTGCTGTTGTTGGTTAGGTTGTTTTGGAATTAGAGTTCAAAGGCAAAAGGCCTCGTGAATATCCTGGCATTGTTTTCCCCACCAGGTAAGTCTGTTGCCGGCCTAGGTGCATATGGAGCGAAGCGTGCTGCTGAACATCGTCGTCATTATTGCTTGTTTACGGAGATATCAGAGAGGCTCTTCTGTTCATTGTATATGGACGCTGCTCACCTCTGCTGTGTGGACATAACTTCTTCCTCTTCTGTCCATTTGAATCAACGTCTAAATTTCCGCTCAGCTTTACTCTTCTAATATGAAGTTCTTGGACTTTTCACAGTCCCTATGGCCCCTCGCATTGCTACCCAGCCTCTCACATGCCTACTGGCGCATGGCCTGCAGCGTTTCTCAGACTTCTCGAGTGGATCCCATTCTTAACCCGGGCGATGTGTCTGGACATGTGCATAAGTTTGCAGGCGGTAGCAGTCAGTACAGTGAGCTCCAAGGTCGACCATTATGCTGACTGCCCAGATGTCAACCAATTCTCCACCTTCGATTCTCTCCAAACCTCGACCTGTTCGACATGCGAAGTCCAGGAGGACAAATCGGCCTATTGGACCCCACAACTATACTTTGCTCACGCAAACGGCTCGTTCGAGGAAGTGCCCAACTACGGAATGACAGTATATTACGTCGGTACGCAGAGCATCCACCTCCAAATCGTTTGATTACTGATTATTCAATGAGGTCGCGGGGGCAACTCTTCCAACACGGTCCCATTCCCTCCCGGATTCAAGATGATCACGGGCGACACTCGACAGCGATCCTACGACAATACGACCTTGACATACATGGATACCAGGCCTGTGGCCGATAGGTTCGTATTTCCCTGCATAACCGTAAAGCATCAGCTGCTAACCTCTGGACAGGGTAAGTTTCCGCTGCATTAACGAAGCTAACGATATTCCAGAAGAACACTATATGTTTCGATCCGACTGTGTCAATGGCATGCGAGCTCAGATCAACTTTCAGTCCTGCTGGGATGGAGTGAATCTTTATCTCGAAAACAGCGCCCACGTCGCATACTTGTCAGGCATCGACTACGGTGTCTGCCCTCCTTCCCATCCGGTTCCTATTCCTGGCCTATTTTTCGAGTTAGCACTCTCCCAGTACCGCGATGGTCCGAAGCTTACTTCAAATACAGGGTTCTTTACTGGACAAACGCGGTTGACCAATCGGGCGGTGGCAAATTTGTCTTCTCCAATGGTGATGATACTGGTTACGGCTTCCATGGCGATTTCTTGAACGGCTGGACCATGGACATACTAGATGGTGCAGTCCAAGACTGTCTCTACACAGACAACGGCGGGGTGGTGAGCGCGTGCTCTCACATCGCTCCCAGCGACGATACCAACTTCCCACGTGACTGCCTCGAACAGCCATCAGTGTTTGACGAGCCGGTGCACGGAATGATTTCAGCTTTGCCTGGTTGTAATCCTATCACATCTGGCCCTGGCTTGGCTGAACAAATCCTCTGTCCTCTTAACTCGCACTCACCGGACCCAGCAAACCAAATACCAGTTTCAAGCTCCACATCTACCACGACTACCTCTTCTTCAGATGCTACGACGACAACCACAGAATCTACCATGTCAACCACGACCGAAACATCCAGCATATCGACTCCAAATACAATCGATGCAGTGGCTACAAGTGTCTCTTCCTCCACGACGACCACGACGACCACAACCACGACCTCCTCCCCCTCAACTGGCCTGTCAACCTCTGATCTACCTCCGATCTCACCTACTGTGACATCCTTCGGCCAGTTCACTTCGACCATGGGATCGAATGGCGGGCTAGCAACTACCACAGTCACCGAGTGGGTTACCATCACCGTGACGGGACCCAATGGTGTACCGACGAATTTAGTCGCTCTAAGCAGCGCCCCGGATGTCACATCCACGTTTTTGTCGGCAGACCCAAGCTTGCAGTCAATGGTGTCTGCCGGGAGATCGATATACGTCGACCCTTGTCCTGATGGAGGTCCGAGGCCATTCAGAAATGGTATGAGGACCATTACCTTGTACGCCGCTGTGACTCCAAGGAATACTGGCCCGCTATTCTCAAGCGTAACTCCTACGACCACGGACACGCCCACTCCTACCAGTGCATCTTCGGCCTTTTCGCAAGTCGCAGGCCTTCCAGGCACCACTCTCACGACAATAGCGACTCCCGCTCCTGCCGATACAGGCGATAACATGAATATCGCTATCTCGACAAGCTTAGCCCTGGCTGATGGTTTTCCAGCCGGCATTTCGACAGCATTTGTGACAACCACACAATCTGTCACCGAGACCACCACTATGACGTCTACCACCACATCTACGCCAGTTACGACGCCTTTCCGGATTCGAGGACGTGAAGTATTCTAGACACAGAGCTAGGGGGATTATTGGCAGCAGGGCAGTATTGCATTGACATTGGCGCACTAATGAATGACAGGGAACGAGTTTACTGACATTTAGGGACGAATAATCACCAGCAAAGATTTGCCAGGAATATGGCGCTACGACAAAATACAGAGATACCCGGGAGGAGGTCTTGGATGAGTACATATTTGGCTGGAGTAAAATAGGGGGCTTATAGAGGAGACGGATCATCTGGTGGCTGGAGGAATAGTGGGAAACGGTGTTTTACATGGGTGGGAATGGGTAGGTGATTAGGTATGGTCGGTCATAGGGAATTTCAAAGTGTTATTAACCTTTCCAACATGCCTGCATCGTGAATAGTCCTATGGTGTTGATGATTTATTGAAATAAAGTGCAGAGGTCCAATGGAATGACTGCAATATGTGAATGTCAGAATGTCACGTGAATGTGCAGCTACGGAGGAGCAGGTCGTTCGTAGTACCTACGGTGCAGCATTAGCACGATATGAGCAACTATTTTCCGCTTCCGTTCGGCAAAGCCTCGTCGACTCGTGCTTAATTGACATGATCTTCCACAGACTATCACCACCGCTCAACCTCAGTCGCGTGCTGCGGTGTTGTTTGCCATCGCCCTAATGTTATGACTAAAAGTCTTTCTGCAGCGAGCTGCATCTCGAACCAAACTCCGAGGTTTGTGTGGATATCCGACGCACTCTTGACAGACACCTTCAATCGGTTCGGTCACCACAAGCGGTATGGCAGCAGCGTGCCTGGTCCCCTGGAGGCACAGCGGCGCGCTGCGAGACGCAAAAATACAAGTCTGGCATATGCCAGCCCCGGGGGTATCGCAGCTGATCCTTCAATTGTCCTCGGAAGCTCTGCGAACAAGCTAGCTTGGTGGCAGTCTCCCCAGCATGGAGAGGCCGCAGACTCAGGTATGCACCTCATGAGGCAAATCGCTCGAAGAAACTAATCTTACTGTGTGACCTGTAGCTTCTCCGCGAGTCCTACCGTCATGGCTTTTTCCCTTTGAAAGCTCGCCCGCCCTCACAAAGCCCGCGATTATCGCACGCCAACCAGAAGAGACAATATCAAAGTCGAGGAAAACATCTGAAAACGAGACGAATCAACTGTCCCACTGCAAAACCCTAGTCGAAATTAAAGACTGGGTTCAGGATGGAGGAGTCAATCTGCGTGAAAATCGTCATGTTCGAGCTGCGATACCGAAACATATCCTCGAGGCGGAATTCCAGATACACGAGATCGCATCGTACATATGCGACCCAATATTTCATCCACCGGGAACATCATATATCCTTGAATTAATGCGCGGCCTTCTCGGTCGTACTTGGGACGCGACCTCCTGGGGAGTCTTGCATGATGCTCTTTGTTCTGCTACTGAACTAGGCCTACTCAACGTAAATGATCTGAAGGAGGTCATTAGCGAGTTGGTCAGTCTAACGGAGGTGCGGCTAACCGACACCCACGGCAAGAAGAAAAAGGTGAAGGCCAATGCTCAAATGTACCTGATCTACGGAATTCTGGAATCGCTCGATCGCTCTACAATTTTGCGCATTACCGACCTTGGGCCGCCCTTTCTGGCCGGACTCTTCTCGAAGTTTGCGACACTGAGATACTACCGTGGCTGGTGCCGGAAGTTATTGTGGCGTCTCCTCCCATGGGCACCGAAGTCTGACATTCCCGTCATTCGTCGGATTACGCTGAAACAGCTCCATTATGCCTGTCAACACAATCTTCACGAGAAAGTAGGACGAATACTCGCCGAAAGGCTGGCAGAGGCCGACTCGGAGGTTTTACAGCTCGCCCTGGTTGATATAACGGAGAAGTTGCTGACCATGTCGATGGAATCCCGCACGATGCTGTACAAGTACCTATGGCACCACTGGTGTGGTACGCTGGCCATTCTTGGATCACCAGGTTATAATGTCTCTCTGACAGAGGAAGCGTGGGCTTCTGCGCAATCTACGAGAAGCTCCCTACTACAAGATCAACGTCTGTTGGCATTTGCCTGGACTGCAATGCATCTCTCTTCAGATCGTCAACAATCCGTGAAAATAGAGGACGGGATGCGGTTTCTCGACCTCTTTGAAAACCTGCTGCGGTCGATACCAGAGTTTACTGAAGACTTCCTGGATCGCGCTGTTCTTGATCCTGCTTGTATGGCTCTGCCGAACAACCACATCCTCCTTCGAAATCTTGCGAGACTATCGAGCAGAGCAGAGGAACTGCTACCTGCGTTGGACAGTAAATGCACTGGCCAGTCGATATTGAAACCGGGCTTATCTCCAAGCTTGATCGATAAACGCATCCAGAATGCTCACCTTGCAGGCCACGAGGCATTGGCAGAGCTGATCGAGAGTTCAAACAAAGATCTTTCAGCCTTCAAGATCTTATCACGGAGGATGATACACAAAAGCACAGCATCGTTTGGCTTTGTCTGCCACCTCCTGGAGACCAATCCGCTGTTCAAGTTAGCGTTAAGGACACCTCACCTTCTTGTTCCAAGGCCATCCCTTCGAACTGGTACGTTTGCGAATCTCAGCACTCCAGTGGGAAGTAAAACAGTCTCGTCTTCAAAACCAGAAGATGCGTCGAGCGATTGGAGCTTACCCAGCAGAGATGAAGTAATTGATCTGATAGGTCATCTTGCCCTCTCATTTGCAACTTCGAATGTCGCCACCCCCCGGGCTGCACTCCGCAGAGTCTACTGGTGCTATCTGTTCCTGCGCCGCTATGGAGCACCTGTCTCGCCAGCCATCAGTCGAGCGTTGTGGCACGTCGGCGTCACACGATATGGTGATCAAGGCACGTCGGCAACACTGTTGAAGTGGATCCTGTTACAAGTCAAACAGGTAGAAGGGGAGAATGTTGCAAACCTATTGCTCTGGAATGAGACATTTCGCCAAACACGTCAAGATCAGATTGCCGTTTGGACCAAAATTGACGAACAAGAGGAAAAGAGACTTCTTGCCGGGTTGGATGTTACAGCTACAAAATACCAAGAGGGTGAAGACGATGAGCTCGCAGCGTTACAGTCGAGAGGTTCGGTATCCCCTGACGGCGATATTGTTAGTCACGAGGAGAAAGGAGATTCAGAGCTGCTGAGGAGAATAATGTTCCTCAAGTCTGAGCCGCCGTACAAGCCATTTTGGATGCCCAGAGAGCAAAGGATGGCCGATTGGCGCATATCCTCAACCACGGGTGTGGAGGGCAAGAAGGAAATACTGCAGCGCAGAGCAGTGGAAGCTCTGAAGGTTGCGAACCTAATGTATCGAGGCTGATACCCAGTCTAGGGCAGTCTAGAGCAAACAGGATATGGGCTGACAGTCCCCCAGACCCGATGATTGACACGCATGAACATACATACTATATTTGTATATACAATACGACAAGAGATGCACAGCTGCACAGATACGTTCACATCCTTTCAAATGCTCACCTTTCCCCCAAGTCAGCCCACTGAACCGGGTATACCGTCTGTCCTTGCAAGTCTAGTTGTCGCTTTGCGACGCGTGGATCGTGGACCGTGGCCCCCAGTCCCGACCTGGGGCATAGAGCAAAGCAGAGCAAAGCAGGGCAACCTAAGCAATTCCGGAAGGGATACCCTATATGTGATCCTACAGATGTACCCATCATGGGTACAAACAGGCATACATATATCCTTATCATCAACCCAGTACCTGCCTACCCGGACCAGCCCTCCTCAAACCCAGCGGCCTTATTCCCCCCGCCTCCCTTTTCTTTCTCTTGTGATGTTTGTAAATGTAGTCTTCCTTTCTCTGTCTCCCTCGCTCTCCCTCTCGCTTTCTCCCTCTATCCTTGTCTCGAAAGCCCGAAAGTTCCATAAAAGCCATCCGTCCGTCAATCACAGAGGTAATCGGCGGAGATATCAGTCAAAAAAAAAGTTCATCAATCACCTGTCCTCGCCTGTCTTGTCCTGTCCTGTCATGGCAAAACAAGACGGAAACACGGTCGGTAGGTTGGTCGGTCGATCGGAAGGGGGATGAGCTCAACGGCAGTCAAAGTTCAGTCAAGTCAAGTGTTCCTGGACCGGTGCATCAGACAAGGTTGATTGACAGACAAGTTCCAAAGCACCGTGCAGAAAAATGCAGTCAGTCAATCGTCGCGTGGTACGGCGAGTGGACAGGTGCATGCATGGCCAAAGTTGCTCTGTGAGAGCTACACGGCGATCCGATGAGTTTCAGCGATCCTTGTCCGTCTCTCCCCTATCCCTTGCAATGTGTGTCTGATGTACATATGTGGGTAAGCAGGTCGATCTAAGCGCTAAAACCAGCAGGGTATGTGCAATGACGGGGGAAACTCCTCGTACCTTGAAAAGCAGAGTCCGGCCAACAAGCGAAAAGAAAACAAAAAGGCCCATCATAGCGCCTTTCCTCCGAGTGGACACATTTGCGCGCCAACACGAAGTCCAAACCTCCCATCCTGGCCAAGGATGAATTGTGATCTGGACTCCACTAATTGACATTGGCCGTGTGGCGCTTTCGGTGTCGCACGGCATCTTTCGCTATTGGTGAGACCCCAAAAAATGACACGTTCGCTGCATGTCCATGAGATCGCCAAGTCCAAAGCCTCACTTTGCGGCATGCGGTCGATCCCAGTAGAACTGCCAGATGACTGAGTTCATCGCCCTCATGCGCACTGACCAGGTGCCAGCCAAGTCCAACTCGGGATTAGTTGCAGTCGCATGTAGGTTCCAGCTAGCACAGCCATGGTCTGTTCGGGGCAACGACTCCACGAAAGCATGAGTTGGTGGCGGCGTTGGCACATACTAGCCAGTACGAGGTACAGTAAACCCCTTCCCCACCCAGGAGGAGCACTCGGGCCTCGTTCCCATATCTGGCGAGTCCAGACTCACCGATCGACGCGAAGGAGAGAACCTTGCATTGCCCCGGTTGATCCGTCCTTGTAAAAGATCGCACTATTGAACCGCAGGGAGTGTAAGCCTCAGCTGGTGGAAATGCG